AAAAAAAAAAAAAAAAATCATAAATATTCGAAAGTTAAAGTAGTTAAAAACATTGAAATTTTAGGTACAAAACATTGTTGTATTTGCTTGAAATATACGAAAATGTAAAATTAGTGATTAGTAAAATTTGAGATTTTTTTTTAGAATACCTTTGATCGAAAACTTTCCGCCAGGCATAGTAGTTTGTGTAATTGGAATTCATATAATAGAAGATAGAAGTCCATTGATTCTCTGTTCTACTACTGTAGGTTCGTTCACCGTGTCGAGACACCAGCATATAAACGTATGCACGTGATGGTATTTGGAACAAAGAATAGAGACATAGTACTTTTTAATTCTTATCGTACCGAATACGATTTTTATATATTCTACCAACTGACAAATTCGTCGCTGATGTAAACAAATAACTAATGTTAGCATTACGATAAGCGCCAGTTAAACCTGTTGCCTCTATTATGCGCCTATTTGGATCTAATGCCTCGTCTCGTTGAACGAACTATACTGACCTTTCGTTCGTATAATTAGATTCAAACTGTCCAGCAGTTCAGGTCAGCAAGAGTTCATTTAATTAGACTTAAAATTTAACAACTTGTTTACCTAATTAACAAAGATTTCATTTAAATAAACGAAGTCCGTATAAAACTATATATTTGAGTTCCACTGTCAAATTGTTAAAAAACGTTTGTCTTCACGCTTTCCGAAACGTCTTTGAGACAGTGGCGCAAACATTGATCGCAATTTTCGATCTTATTGTTAGTGTGACCTCAAGTTTCGATCATAGTAGATTCTCCAAGTGTCTCGCCCGGAGCTTTCTAAACGTAAAGTGAAGTTGCAGAACCGGTTTTGCAAATAGATGTCAATGCCTGGCTAATTAATTTTCTTGTTAATACGCTTCGGTAAATTTGCGTCACCTCGATCATAACACTTTGAAGTGTCTATCGCGTGACATTTATTTTTTTCTTCTTTTTTTGTACCGATGATTACCGACATAGCTTGGCAAAAAAGAAGAAAAAACGATTTCCATCATTAGTTTCAAGGGTCAAATTCTTCGCTCTTTTTGGCTCTGATTTTGAACATATTTCCATACGTCGTTCGTAGAGTTTTACTTTCAAGTTGTTTGTGTACACACTGTTTGTTATTTTACAATTATCTGATGATATGAAATATATGTGCAATTATAATATAAAATGTGTATATATATATATATATATTTATTCATATAATATAATAATAATATAATATAATAATAATGTTTATAATAAATATTGTCATAAATATATTTTATATCTTAACGATATTTATACATATAAATAAGGATTGAAAAAAAAGTATTATCCTTTGTTCTATTCGAATTTAATGAAATGTGTATGTTCTTGTGGAATTTTTATGGAAAAAAATATCTAGTCTTTAGGAACATTTGTTGTGTCAAACAACAAAATTGTATTTTTGGTACACTTATCTTTTATCAATTCATATTTATAGGCTTTGATAGGGTACCTGTCAAATTATCTAATTAATTAAATACTAATTCTCTAATTTGACGATGTTTTGAACATTTGCAATTGCACCGTGTGTGTGTGTGTGTGTGTGTGTGTGTGCAATAATTAGATTGCGGATTTTTATCATCGTACAAAAAATACTTCCCACGTATTTAATTTTTAAAGTCATTCGCTTCATTTCCAGAATCTATTAAATTTCTGATAATGTTCAAACTTCCTCGATTAATCGGATCTCGTAACATGTTTTATCTTCTCGTGACAATTTTTAAACAATTTTCAAAGTCAAGCAATGCCAACATTTGTCTTTTGCTGCTACTTTTTCCCTATCATCTCTATTGTAATCGTTTGAAACAATAAATCAATACTATATCCGCACACGTTGCAACTGACGAATATATATATAAATAGTCGCGATATTTTTCTAAATAAACAAATATCGGCGAGAACTTTTCGACTTTAAAGCACTTGTCTCGTTCATTTAAACAAACAAATGTAAATGAAGAAGGTCGTGAATGCAGAATTATGTACCACGGGTACGTTATCGATCTCGGGGAAACGGTTTCGAGGTCACGGCTAGAGCCGATCTCGAGCGCGGTCGTTCCATCCGAAACGATGGGGGAGGGATGTGTCTTTTCTTCCTGCGTGAAGATAAGGTCGGCCAAGCTAATTTCAACCGCGCGAGTAAATCAAAGATCCGGGATAGATAAATCAGCGGAGCGAGGCAACCGATCGCCGATGAGAATCGTCTGCAACAGCAGAGGGTAACCCTCTTTATCGCGCGGGCCAGCCGTTTTCATACAGAGAACGCTTTGTTGCCACGATATGAATTGCCTCTTGATTGCTTCCAAGTACTCGCCGCACGTCCACCCGTTCGCTCTCGTTCGCGCCATTCACCCAAATTCCTCGTTTCCTATCGTCTCCTCCGTCTCCTACCTCGTATCGGCGATCGAAAGTCGTTCTTCGCGGCGAGGTTGCAAATATCTCGCGATACGGAAAGAATATTACGACTCGGATGGATAAAGAACGATTTGGCGAAAAATTGGCCGCGGAACTTTCGCGTGGGAGTGAACGAGGCTTTTGGAGCGAAGACCAAAAGTCAATTTGACTACGAATTTGGAAGTAAGAATATCACTATGAAATTTTTATTTTCGACTTTCTAGTAAAGAAACGATGGTCTACGAAAATTAACGAGACTCAATTGTCAGTGCAATTTTTCGTTTCATTATTTCATTACTTATTATCTCTTACTCATTAGAAAAGAAAGCCAAAACAAAGATACAAAAAAAAAAAAAAATTCAATGACAACTGAAGATTCTGGTTCTAAGAAGAAATAAAGAAACCCTGTAAAGAAGATCTGTCTTCTAATCTGTTCAAAGGGAATCGCGATCATGCATTCTGTCAAATCCTTGTATTTGTGCTCGACACCGCGACACAGAAAGCGGGACGTGACGAGGGAAAAAATCATTTGACGAGGAATCCCGATGACTTCGCATTCGGAAAAGAAGGAAAAGAAAGTCTGCCGGTAGTCTGTAGAGGAACAGCGAGGGGAGGGAGACCGATGACACGGGCAAACGCGATTCGATTTAACGAGCAGCGTGTAGAGGTGCCGCCGCGTGACAGATGGACAGGGGTCGCAGTCGGGCGTACGCTAAACAGGTTAAAGGGTTGGTGATTCGATCAACGAGCTTCGACGTTACACCTCCGAGTGCGCGCACGATTCCTCGAAACGAGATTCCCTGAGAAATAATCGACGTGATTTTTTAAAACGTCGCGTAATTTGCGCGTGATTTCGCAAATACGGGTGCATGTTTCACTTTTCTTACTCGTTCTGGTTGTTCGTCGTCGATCATAATTAGCTTTGTTAAAGTAAGCTCCGAGTCTGGAGCTTGGAAAATTCAAGTCCTTCGACGAGTTCGATTAACGTTCCTTGAAACTCGAACTAATTTGTGTGATGCAATGATGATTGTAAACAGCATCGTTATTATTTGTCGATGATAATTGCACACGGAATCAATCTTAGGAATTACGAGAGCTAAAGAGAACTTTTTAAAGCTTCAGTCTTAAAGCTTCGAGTTAGTCGTATCGTTAGTTTTCAAAAACTCAAGCTTTGAGGTTGAGGTCTGAAGCTCGCAAGACTTGCTTTATACATCACTGGCCATAATTACTGGGTACGAATCGGCCGATGGAGCAACATAACGAGAGTGAAACGAGAAGAAAAAGAAGAATGGGAGATTTAAATTTTGTAACTTCGCCGACAAGATTATAGTCGGTGGCATGATAAAATGATCAATCCCTTACTACACGATTTTCTTTCCAATCTTCTTAACCTGTCAAGTACCAAGCAATAGTTTATCCTTTAATTTATTATTACTATTATAATTATTATAATTTTATAGTTTTATTGTTAGAGCAGTAGTATTATTATTTCAGTTTATATTTTAATTTTGTATAATTGTAGATTCTAGCTGCAAGTAATAATGGAAAAAAATATTGAACGATTTCTTGAAACTCGCGTCATAAATATGATGTTAAAATACAAAGTTGATCATTGATGTAAGATGATCGAAAAAAAAAAAATTGATCTTTAATAGGTCAAGTAAGCACAATGTTATTACATCATATCGGATATGAAGTAAATGAAACATTGTAATTTATTAATCTTCATTTGAAAGAATTGGGATTTAAAATTCAAATTCAGGTTCCGTAAGACTAGAATTTGTCTTCTATTTTAAATCAAAACCATGATTTATATCATATGAGGAGCATGATTCGACCTGTGGAATTTTGAAATCTATAAATTATATATGACGTTTCAATATATTACATTTGACACCGTGTAACGAATTACAATAACTAATAGAAAAGAAAATCGTAAGATTCGATCAACAACTTCGATATCGTTCCTCCAAATGCACGCTCGATCACTTAATCCTCGGAGTATTAACATGAGAATAAAATGATTTAACGATCCCGAGTAAATCACATGAATCATAAACTAACTCATGTACGTCCTTCTTTTATTATTTTGTTATTTATATTAATTTTCCATTTTAAAAGAATTTTTCAAAAATATAAACGAATGGAAAATATTAAGCACACATCCGAGGTTTCGAAGGTACTTCTAAATTCTAATAGATACTTCTCCTTCTCTCTATATTTGTTCCGAATAATTTGTCTCAATGATGATAAATAAATCGAATTAAATAAAAATTCAAAAAGAAAGGGAAATTCTCCGAATCTTCGTCAAACACGAACAACAGTCGTTCCTTTCTGCTTCCGATTGCTCGTAACAATCCGAATAATGCGTGTGACAAGAATGAAAAGAAAAAAAAAAGTGTAGAAGATTTTAATCTTGTAATATTTATCTTCTCTTTCCAGGATGCAAAAGTTTCTTCAAGAGGAGCGTCAGGAGAAACCTAACTTACTCGTGTCGAGGGAATAGGAACTGTCCGATCGACCAACACCATAGGAATCAGTGCCAGTTCTGCCGATTGAAAAAGTGCCTGAAGATGGGCATGCGCCGGGAAGGTACGTACCCGATCGATCCCTCGATCGTCTCGATCGTTCTCGAGTTCCACACGAAGCGAAGCGAAGCCACACAAGCGCGGTTAACACTTCTCCGGCGGGATATTTGAAATGAGAGTCACGTGTAAGGAATATGCGTTATAAATAATCGTATATTTTTTCTTATTGCAGTATTAATGTACTATAACAATCGAACCCTGATCGATACGACTGGTTTCAGATTTTCGTTTGAACTACTTAAAAGATACGGGAGGGGGGCTGGCCTTAATTTTTAATTTATTTCTGTTTGGACAGAAGCACGATTGCATAAATCTGTTTACTTTAATCATCATTTAAATTATAGTGATTTATGCGTGGAATATTTGGCACAGTTGTCTGTTCTAGTGTCAACAAATATCTTCATTCATTTATTTGTGCTAATATTTTTGGACAACCAAAATCAAGTTATGTACACACGTATATACATATGTGAAAGTGTTAAAATAGAGCAGGCGGGCTGCGAGTCGCGCGCTCGTCGTCGTATCCTAAGATCAAAGTTCAACGAGGCGGAAACGTTTCTATTTATTTGTGCCCGAGGGATTCTCGAGAACGAGCAGCAGCGAGCGGGTGCGAACACGCTCGAGCATCCTTGGAACTTTGTGTCGCTCGAACGCGGCACAAGTGCGCGTATTTATATCAGGACCGCGTTCTCGATACGGTCGCGCTCGAGTTCCTCACCTTCTGCTTTCGGGCAGCGCGTCGATACCGATCTCCTTCGATCCCCTCCTCCCTTTTTCCTTCGCGCGTTCTCGACGACCACTTTCGTCGACGCGACGTTCCACGCTATCCTGTGTGTTTTTTTTTTAAGCTCCTGTCTCTTCTTCTCTTTCCCCCTTTCTTCGTCCTCGAACTTTCATTCGATCGCGCGGAATAAGCTGGGATTCCCTGCGAGCGTCACGCGAATTTGTGGAACACTCGCACGTGGATTTTTATTTTCGAATTACTGTTGGAGTTCAATTATCTGAAACTGAATTTTTACTACTACTACGAACAAGGGACCACCAGTGAAAGAGGTGTATGTATCAATGTGCATCGTAAAATGAAGGACCATCTTGTTGAAAAGGTAACTTGTTTGCAATAAACTGTATGTAATTCATGCAATTCCTCTCTTCCCGAAATATACGATTCGAAATATACGAGGTCTGCCTAAAATTATACGAAAGTATATTATTACTATGATGACTAATTACTAAATAAATTAGTCATTAGCGCATTATCACTGATATATTACAACTACATTTTACGTACTATATATTATCAACAATTACATATTTAAGTCAAATTATTATACGTTATTAATCGAAAAAGAATTTTTAAGGACACGAAAAGTTTTCATTTTAACCGCCAAAGAGAAGAACAATCGTTCTCCAGAATGCAGTCGGAGATTCTCCAGGGTACGTCAAGACGCTTATAGAAAATCTCTTGCTCAGAGTAAGCAGAAACACGTAGATCGAGATCACACGAGCTGCTCGATCACCGCGGCGCACCGCGGCGATCACGAAAACCCCGGAAAGGTTCCCACGCCTTTCCCTTTCCGAGATTCCTTCTTTTTCTTCTCTCGAACTTGTTCGTTTATGCGGTGATAACATCTGACCTTGTTAGAGCACGCACGAACCAGGTGTA